GGGTATTATGCCTCTTCAGCATTGCTTGTTGCAATTATGACAAAGCAACATAATTAATTTCCCTTCTTTCCCCAGGGTCATCAGGTTATTCTTACAATTCATGGGTCTACCTTTGTGGTAATGGGTCTTTGTGTGTTCTCTATATCTAAAGCTATTTAAATCTCTTTTATGTTGTTCACCCCCTCCCCCCCCCCCCCCCCCCCACTGGGTAGGAGTAAGAAGTGTAGCACTTTGTTCAGGTTTGCTACTACCTACAAAACAGAAAAACGTTGACCATTTCAGCAGAGGCTTAGTGCAGAATTCAAAGAGCTATTGATAAAATATTTAACGGTAAATTGGAGCTGATTTGGAGTTGCAACTCTACCCTTTCATCTAAATTGACAGAATACAGCAAGTGGCTGGCCTTCCATTATGTGGTAATGTCACTAGAACTCAAGAAAACCAATATAAATTTTGAATTGAATATGCTATTTTTAAAGACAAAAAGTAAGGCACTCAACTTTGGTTTTGTAGGTTGCTGTTTGCTGTTCTGCATGTCACAACTCACCTACTTCCACTACTGTTGTATGTCTAATGCTGTCCTCGGACTATGTATGCTTTGCTGTTTGGCTGTGGCCTGTGAGAGTGAAATTCTGGCCTGCTGGAAGTCCCGTGCAAATTTTGTCAGTGATTTTAGTGGAGCCAGGACTTTGTCCTCAGTGGTGATGGCTTTTGTTTTTCAAGAAGTGATACGTAAAATGCCAAAGCTTAAATCTGTGTTTATGATTCTATTTGCTTTCAAATACTTCTTCTGTATTTGTACCTGCAATGTTATGGGGGGCAGAGAGGTTGCTAGATTTTTTGCTTGATCAAATATTTAAAGGCCTGCTATGAATTTTGTTTTTATTTCAATGATTTTTTTTTTAATAGAAATATTTAAAGTATGTGACTTTGCTTGAGGGAGAGCAGGAGGAACATATTTTCAGTGCGCACACACAGTACATTTTTGTTCTTTTTTAACCTCTGACATCTTGACATTACAGTGAAATGAAAGATTCCTATTTTTGAATCTCTGTAGGCCAACGTTAAGTTTATAGGGGTGAGAAAAGAAGGGAGCAAGATGTCTGTTGCCTCGGTCTCCCTTTAGCATCTCCTGGTGCAGTTGCACAGAGGATCAGTTCCTGTTGTCAATGTGGCTGTTCCAAAGACAAAATTGTGCATAGGTAGATTAGTAGCAGACCTGTGTGTTTATTAGATATCTCTTATATCCTAAATCTCACCGCCTTTCTCTAAAGCATGAACCCACAAAGCTGAGAAATGTTTCAACTCAGCTTTTATGGAATTTTTTAACTGAAATTTGGATAGATAAGTAACAAGTTCACTAGCAACAAACAAAAATGAAGATGTAAGTTGATGTTCAGAAAGGGATTGCACTTAAGTTTGCGCTTCCCCATATTTTCTCAATTTTCAATTTGTCGGCATAGTACATGACTTTTTTTAAATCATGTTGGCATGGGCTAAAAGGAAGCGTGATAGCCTCAAATAGCAGAGTTTGGAGTGAGTGTCAACAAGTTCAAGTGTGCTTTTGGGAGTAGAAGAGGAGGACAGTGGAAAGGGAAAATACGTTGTTTTGCGGTAGAGAAGTTGCCTGTGGAAGTCCGTTCACGTCCAGGGCGCTCGGTGAGTAGCTGCTGCAGGCTGGAACAGAACGCCGTCCTGAGTACGGTCGTGCTGAACAGCTGGGCTTCAGAACAGCGATAGGAAAGCGGTAGCAAGTAACTTCTGTATTGCTGCAGTGGGAGACGTACTGCTCGTTCAAGCGATTACTGACGGCACTTGTAAGCATGTAAAGCTTTTCAGCAACTGCGCACATTAGTTGAAGCCACCTAATGAATTCTGCCCTCAAGTAAACGAAGTAGGGTCAAATGCAAGCATGGCATTTGCAGAAGAAGCAAAAATTAATCTGAAATTGAGACTTTCCACATTTAAACACTGTAACAAGTATGGCTCTAACAATTTTTGTTTTTGTTTTGCCTTCTACTTCCAAATCCTACAGGAGGCCCAGAGACTGCAATGCCTGATGTAAGTACAATTCACCAACTACTTACTAGCTGCGTAAGCCTGGTGGTTTCAGGAGACCCCCTGCTGTCTATTGCTTTATAAACTGCCTTAAAATTCTGATCAAATAACTGACTAAACTTTGGCTACTGACTAAACTTTTTTAGTATGTAAGAGAATGGTGGCATTCTGTCCCTTTGAAAAAGGCTAATTCAGGTTCTTGTCACTCTAAAGCTGTGGTGTTTGTAACACTTTCTGTATTTCTCATTTTAAAAAGTTACTTTTTAAAATGTAGAACGTTTATTACGTGGGGAAAGATGATAAAAATATCTCATTTCTGTGCTTTTTTTCCTTTTTTCCTTTTTTTTTTTTTTTAAGCTCCCAGTCCCATCCATTAGTGCTCCTGCTCGTCGAGTTTGGGATCAAGAGGAAGAACGAAAACGACAGGAAAAATGGCAAAAGGAGCAGGAGCGTTTATTGCAGGTATAGTTCATCTTCATAATCATAGACTGCATTCCCTTTGGTCTGGTAACTGCCAGAGAAGAAAACCTTTCTCAACTCCTGCAACTACTGATGTCCTATGAAGACTTTCAGATGCTTTCTAGGCAGAGCAGAAACACACACTAGCAGTTACCTAGCAAAAAATGGGGAAAACGCACTGGTAAGGTTCATTAAATCAAAATCTAGGCTGTATGATCACTGTAACCAGAAACAGTGAATCATCACAAGGCTGGTATGATCTACCAGCAAAAGAACTTCAAGGGTAAGCAGAAACCGAAGTCGCAGTGGTCTTTGCTTTTGAATGAGTGTGTGTGGGTGTGTGTTTGTTTGTTTGTTGGTTTTTTTAGAAAATTATCTCTAGAGTGTGTTTTACCTTCAATTTGAGGTGTTGTCTTGTATTTGGAGATGAAGAGAAAGGAGCCAGTGCCTCAGTTAGATGCCTGTCACCATCCTCTTTGTTAGTCGTCCTGATTCCCAGGACCTCTGTGAGCTCAGGAAGCTGAAGCTGCAGACAAATGCAAAGAAAACCTTCATACCCGGTTTGCTAAAGCTGGAGGAAGGGATTGCAGAGGCAAGGGGCAATGTATGTTGCTTTAGGACAGTATAAAAAAACCCCCCACATTCCAGAGTTGAATGGGCCTATGTTTCACTGAGCTGTGGTCATTGATCTAAGACATATCTCTGAAAATTAAATTAAGGCTAGCTATCTAGAGTCTGTTGGCTCGTAGAGATGTTGATGAACATCACTTTCTCTGCAGAAGCCCTCTTAATAAAATTGGTGCATTCGGCAAAAGACTCTGATGTCAAAACACAGTGTAGCTACCCCATTGCTTTTAGGATGTTTTATCTTTTCTCATTCCTTTTAGCTTATAACCTCTGCAAGGCTAGAGCTGTGCCTTGCTAAACATGAATGTGGTCTCTTATGTTTTGGGTGCTTCTTTTGACGCTCGAGAGATGGCTTCAAAGAGTGAAATTTGGCTCCCCTTTCCTTCACGAGAACAGTCTCAGCCCTCCGCGTTTTTTCTTTTTCTTTGTTTCTCCTTCTTTAGTCTGGAGGGCCTAGAGGAAACTAAATGTTCCGTTTTGATCCCAGTGATGATCTTTCACATAATAGAGAGAAGAAACAAAATCTTTCCTTATTTACTTCCAGCATCTCGGAAGGAATATTTTTGACGTTATTAAGCATTTTACTTTTCCAAAGAACTAAGTGGCGACTGACAAAACCCACCAAACCTTTTATTGTGTGCCTTGAGTAGTGCCTTAAGATATTGCATCAATTTCATACCAACTTCAGTCACAGGACAAATTCAAAGGTCCAGAAACTGACTTTTGTTTAGATAAGGGTCCAAAAGATCAAGTGTTCTTGCTCAAACTAAATTACTGCCTCATATTTCACTTAGAGGGCACTTTGTGTTTACCTTATTACTGTGTCCAATTCCAAGTTAAATATAATTACTCTGTCTTTCAAGAAATACCTTACATAGCTGAGTTTTGTTCAAATGGAAACTGAACTGTAAAGCAGAGAGTATTACAGATACTTGGTTGTTAGGAGACTTAGCATATAAACCTGGATTCTGTGAAATCAATGACCTTTTGATTGTATTCGGGCCAGGATTTCACGTGCTTATGCCAGACTTAACGTCCTGGTGGAGCTCCAGCATGTTTTTACCGCATCAGTCTGTTATAAAGCATCAATTAAATAAGAGTATTATATTTTAATGCAAATAAAGCATGCCATGGTTCTTATTTGTGTGTCTAACTTCAATCTAACCTAACAGGAGAAATACCAGCGAGAACAAGAAAAACTGAGGGAAGAATGGCTACGAGCGAAGCAGGAAGCAGAAAAAGAGAGCTCCAAGTATTTAGATGAGGTAGGCTAGGGATATGGCTTCACCTGTAACACTGCAGTTTCATGCTGTTTTTTTTTTCTCCTTTCCTCTTCCTTGCTTCACTAGTAGTAGAAATAGGCAAACAGGGAAATAATTTATTTTGCTGTGTCATATATCTTCTCACTTTGGAAAATAAATGCTTCTAAAATAAAAACATTGTCTATGACTTGGCAAAAAGAGATTGCAAAGATAGGAGGGGAAGAGGAAATGGGGTGTTCTGTGACCTATTGAACTAGACTTTTTTCCTGATGGGTTGGTTAAGTAACTAATACCAGAAATATGTCGACAAAAAGTTAGAGCATGTGTGATATTACTGTGACCAGAATAAGAATGGTCACCTTTGTTGCTGAATAATATTTAGCTCATGTTACCTATTGAAATTCTCCTTCACTGCTTCATCATTAGGCTCGTTCATAAGTGCCTGGCTTGTTATTGTCATCCCATTCATCCTCCATCTGATAAATTTACATATTAAATCAACTTCAGCATTGGTATATTTCAAAATATTGAATGCATCCACTTTCTGTAGCTGCCTACTTTTGTGGTTGTTGCCTATGGGAAGATGAACAGGTTTTTCCTGAGTGTGGGAGGCGTCTGAGATATCTCTTCTCTGTTGCTATATGAGAGCAAGGGGTGCCGCTTCAGGCATCCCAGATAGAGCGGTTGTGTTTATATAGAGTAATGAACAAGACGACTCCAATTTAAAGCTCGGGACCGCAATAAGAAACCTCTTTGAGCTGTTAGAGGACTTTGCAGCAAAAAGATGTAAAATATTTCATCTTTATAAACGTTAGAATTCAAGACTGGAGCGGAGTATTTGTTCCTGTCAGTTAAAGGATTTTTAAAGCACTGAAAGACCTTTTCTCATGTTTGAGAGAAGGATCAGATTGGTAGGTCCGAGGCTTGACTTTTAGATGGTAGAGGGACACAGGAGGATGGGTGCTTTCCCTATATGATAGGTCACGTGGAATTCAGTGGTCTAGTACATGTCTACAGTGTTTCCCTTGGGTCAGTCTCAGGTTTCTGAGTAAGAAGGGAAAAATGCTGGTATGTGATGATTTTCTTACTGTGGGTGTCATAGAAGAATTTGTTTCTGCTGGGGATTTAAGTGGAGATGGGCTGCACTTGAAAAGTAAGTGGTTTTTAGAGGTTTTAGAAAGAAGGATGTTTCGCATCCTTGTGGGCAACGCAGCTCATGGAGCTAGCTAAGGCAGCTCTATGAAACGGAGCTCTTACATTAAGAGAATGTGTTTGCGGACATTCAGAAAATGAAACCAAAGTATGCCGTGCGCAGTCCATTGAGAATCTCTGGGTAGCTTTTTATCCCTGGTTTTTGATATAGAATAAACAAACTGTTTTCTAAATAAGCAGCCTACTCTATTTACGAAATCAACCTCCTTCCCCCAACGTTTTATTTTTCCTCTCCTTGCTATAGGAGCAGACTGTCCTAACATTAAACACAGTGTCTGTCCCTGCGCGGACTCTGTCAGTGTCCAGCTGGAGGGCAAGCACGGGAATGAATACTCCTGACAATTCAGAGGGAGATGGAGGAAGTGAGTCAGAGGCACGCTTGCTGCATGAGGAAGAAAAAGAACAACAACGGAGGAAGCTTCAGGAGGAACAGCGGATCCAGGAAGAAGCAGCCCTCCGTTTTCAGCGAGAAAAGGAGCTCCAGGAACGGGAGCTCGAGAGACAACGTAAAGAGCAGGAACAGCAATATGCTGAGGAGCAGAAGCGGCGCGCGGAGATGGAGGAGCAGAAGAAGCGCGCCGAGAGGCAGAGGGATGCATCAGTGGAGACACCTCAGTATCAGAGGTCAGCGCTTGTGGAGGGAGATGTGCTCTCTCTTCCATCAGTATGGAAATTGAAATACGTTTCTAAGCGAGTGTGGAAGTCCTGAATGTTTAAGCGCGTTCATGTGTGATTCCTACTGTAGGTTAGTCACTCACCGCAAGGCTGCACGTGATAGCCTAACCCTGCTAGCCACTTATATGTGCTTCAGCAGCGAAACAGCAAGGGCTTAGTTGTGCTATCCCTTGCGCGTACTGTAAGTGTCATCAGACAAGTGTGTTTGACCAACTTGGTGTAGTTTGAGAAATTCCTCCCCCCTAGTACTCTGGAATCTGTTTTGTTGCAAATCATTTTACCTTAAGTAAACCTGTTTTAATTTGCTCTGAAATAGGCTAGAAACAATTACATGTGCGTGTTTTGCATTTTGGCCGAGGAAGGATGCCTAGAAGCTGTTTGGTGATAGCTTAAACTGCTGCAGCCTGACTGCAAATGCTCCTTGCCATAAGTGACGTTTGATTGCACAAATCATCCTGCTGAGGCTAAATAAAGTATTACTCATTCTTTTTAAAGGTAGAAGAATCAGGCCTAAGACCAACTCTTCCTCCGTGAATTAAGTATTCTTTTAACCCACTTCTGCTGATTTTTAAACAGGAAGCTAAGTATAAACACAGTAATTACAGCCAAATCAATGATGACCTAAAGCACTTACTGTGAAGATTTTTTAGAGTTCCTGCATAATCTTGTAAGTGGAAAGCCAGTGAGTCAACATATAGGGCTTTCAGAAGAAATACCAAGTTAACTATTTTCCAGCAAATACGTGTTTGGTGGGTTTTTTTTTTTTTTTTTTTAGATTTCTCTCATTTTCGTTTGACAATGCAACAATACAGTTTAATTGCTGTGCTAATTACCCAATAAGGGGTATCATGATAATCTAAATTAGCAGATACTGGCTTAGATGTCACAGCCCGTTAAGAACTATCCACTGTGGACATGTCTATTCTAGAAGTGAAACGGTTTCTTTCTTCTTCAGCCCCTTATTTAGGGGGAAGGGGGGAAGTAATTAATTTACAAGTACATGTTCCTACCCAGAAAAGTGTTTTTACTACAACTGCAGGTGTCATGGGAGGTTAATCTGACTGACAGATTAGAACAATAACTTTTCCTTATTTCATTATGCACTTAGCTAGTCATACACAAGACAGTAATCTTTATTTCTCTTGAGGGTTTTTTTCCTCCCCCTGCTGTATAAGCAAAGAGATGACTGAAGATAATGCTCGGTGTCACGTTAAAGCTTAGGAGAAGAATATGTGGTTACAAAATTGCATATATTTGCAGGGGAGATTGTGAGATCTGGAGTTACTTTAACACATGTTAAATTATTGCTTCTGCTTGAGATCCCCACTGAGCAAAGCAGAGGCACAGTTGTTAAAATGGCTAAACAGGTTCTTCCTGGCAGCTGAGCCAGAGTATCTCTGCAGTTTTAACTTGCCCAAATTATGGGATAATAAGACTTTGTGCAGTAACTTATTAAGCTGCTGTAATATAATTGCATATGTAGATACTTGATATGTGCCTCAGTTTCAGAGGTTTTCATTTCTTCTGAGGTTGCTGCTAAAGGATGCATATTGCTAGACAAGGATGGCTTTACTTAATGTTACATGAGCAGGTTCAGTCAAACTGTGATTTTAAATATCTAACGTTAAATATTTGTTTATGATGATAGCCAAAGGTCCACTCTGAAATGCGCAATGTTATATAAACTTATATGAAGGCAGGATACTTGCCCCAAAGAGCTGTGCTGACTGTCAGCTAGCAGCAGAGCATGAAGGTTGGGGACAGGCAAGTGGTAAAGAGCTTCGTCTGTGCGAGTTCATGAGTGTTTCTCCCTATGGGTTACAGGCTGCACCCAGACAATTTGCTGGAATATACGCTCAGCTCCTAGAGAGCTGCTGTGTTTGGACAAAGCTTTACCCTCCTGGCTTTGAAACAGATAATAGAAGCACTGTCGTTTACCAATACTTACAATTTTTGCAGTGTTTATAAATCTGTCTGTCTCTGCCCCCCTGCCCCTCCCCATGGATTTTCATGTTCCTAACCAATATATCTGAGCTTTCTCATTTTCCTCTCTGTATGCTTACTGTTTGTCCAATTTCTAGAAATTTTTGTTTAATATATATTTGACTGTATCTGTGTTTTGTTTATAGACATTATGAGCGCTATGAAGTATCTAAAACGATAGAGGATCGACCTGGCTATCCTCTCATTGACAGGTAATACTAAATTGAACTGCTAGGTAGGTTGAAACATTACCTTCAGCAATAAGTGTTAACCAGTTTGGCATGCAGAGGTTTAGATTTTTTGTCACTTAAAATCAAGTACTTTTAGGCAGTTTTTTTCAGCATTCTTTCTTTGGGTTGTTTGTTTTGTTTCTGGCTACTAAAACTAGGCCTGCTTAGAACGTTCACCCTTTTTATATGCTTAAGGGTCTATTCTGAGTATTTTTAGTAGGAAATATTTGTACTTTTGCATATGAACATAATAATGCATCTTGTTTTATAGACATTATGAGCGTTACGAAGTTTCTAAAACCGTTGAGGAGCAACCTGATCAGTCATTTGCTGATAGGTATGTGTGCTATTGAATTTCAGCATCAGTCGTACGTCACTATTCCTGTGTCAAAGTCTTGAAATGTCCAATAAACTTGAACTATGGCAATTAAGCTTATATTATGTACCACTGTTGTGTTTTGCAGTTTTTATGTCATGTTTTCATCTCAAGGAAAAAAAAAGTAGCCAAACTTTTGGCAAATTACAGACTGTGTGGTAAACAACAGTTAATCAGCAGGATTTTACTGGGAGAAGCAGAACTATAAGGAAGTAAATATGTGGGTGGCACTAGACTTAGCTGGCTGGAAAACAATTTCAGCTAAAATTGTGGTTGTGTCATAATGTACTGTACAAACTAAGGTGCAGTTGTCTTGATCAAGATTGTGAAACCTGAGGTAGCAAGCAGGGGGGAGGTGAGAGATAGCCGCAGCATATTTATTAGGAAGGCAGTAGGTGTGCCACCTGTTCCAGTCTTTACTTTGACTGTTTTCTGTTTTGTTTTAGACTGTGCTCAGTGGTTTGTGTGGGTTTTTGGCTTTTAGGTTTTTTTAAATTCATTTCCATAGAGCATTAGCTATTACAGATCTATTGGGCTCTTTGGATAGACAGCTTTTTCTTCTCCCATTTAATTACTGGGCTACAGTTTTAAAAAAAAAAGTCCATAATAACTTAAATCTAGGACACTTCTATCAAGCCTTTTGTCCTAGGTGGCATCCCATAGTAGTTCCAAAAGATCATCTCCACTACATATTTAATACATTCTTATAGTTTGAATCAGTGTGACCTTCTGTACTAAGATGAACCCCAAAATATACTGGGTGTAACTTCTCGATCTGTTACCTAGAAGATCTAAATCTAATTTCAGGAAGTTGCCTCAATTAAATGGTTACCTCTTAAATTTTATGTATATATACACATATATATGAGGAGGAGGCTCAGGTGCTAAAATCATCCCAGACCAGGGTGCCCTGCTCTTTGGAAGCCATGTTCACTACAAACAACTGTGCAACTGTGTCCTCTCAGATAGATAAAACAATAGATCAGCCTTGTATGACAGATAACTAGAACTGGAGGGACCAAGAAACACGATGCAATTTGGTTATGTATCATTTACCTGTAGATAAAGCACAAGGCTCCCTTTATACGCTCTTACGCAACCAGTGTTATATGTGTGAAAACGCTGCTGTGCAGCCATCCGTAGCTTTGCTGTTGAAGTTGTGGCCCAGCAAAGGAGTTCTGTTTCTTTCTGAACTATTTGAAACTGAGAAACTGGCTGTATTACTTAGGACTAATAAGGTAGCAGAAAGGTGTTGCCAAAGCTCCCTTCTGTACTGGCAGCAAACCAGCTTTTGGCCATTTATTTTCCTGTGTATTTGAATGGCTTTTCTTGGCTAAAACTAATTTAAAAAATGACGCTACTGGCTATAATCAATGAATAATAAATTTCCCAAGGACAATCTGCCTGCGGTATTTAAGGACGTGCTTTGCCTACAGTCTAGTAGCGCTGTTGAAGTGTGATTTCAGTTTCTCACAGCATTAGGTCATTTTATAAACCTGCTTTGGAAGTTAGCACTTCTTTGACTGACTGTAGTCTTTACAGAGCTTCCGTAGGGAAGGGACTGTGTTTCTTGCATGTTTTTATTGAGCAAAGTACAATGATTAAAGACTTGTGAAAGTTCCCAGCTTCAGCTATAGGGGAATAATGTGTGATTACCTGTGTTGACCAATACTGAAATCTTTTTTTCTCCTCCTTAATATCCTGTTGTCCTTTTGTCTGTTTCTTTGTCTCTTGTTTTAAGTACATTGCAAGTTGTTGGTGAGAGGGTTGGTGAAAGAGAGGGTTGGGTATCTGTAGTCCGGAGTGGTAAGATCTTTGTCTGTGACGGGCTCTCGTAGTTGAGATACAGAAACTAATGTTTCCTGTACCTTTAGGAGCAAGTCCAAGTCAACCTCAGAACTGGATGAAGTTACAACAAAGAGAAATGGTAAGTACTGTTTAACTTTCACTATCTTTTAAATGCATCTTTTTCAGAAAATGTTCTCGCATAGAAGAAGTCATCCTAACAAGATTGTCAAAGACCTTTTTGATAGCTGCATCGTACTTCAAATTCATAACGCAGCGCAATTTACTGAAGTTTTAACAGGAAGAGAAAACTGATACGGTCAACAGAGAGGTCTAAGACAAATATGATTAACTTCTTTCTCAAAGTGCCTTAGCAGTGATAACGAAGGGAACTTAGATGCCTAACTTTTAGATGACTGAAACTTTACAAGATAAACCCTGTCCTGTAGGTGTAGCATTGAAATTGTTGTATGTGTTCATGCTATATTTGCTTTGTCAATAAAAAAGCTCTGCATACCAAGATGATGTGTAGTTGGCACAACTGTTAGCTGTTTTTAACTTCTGTTAGTGTAGGAATAACACAGCCAGAAGTCGGTTCTTGGTACTGTCACAGTGGCTTTTTTCCAAGACTCTCCTGCCTTTCTTGAGTTGCGTTCTTCAGTTACGTTACTGCTTTTTCAGAAGAAAGTATATAAACAATTTTCTAAATACATTACAGTACTACACTCCCAAAAGCTATTTCTGTGTGTAAACTGGGAAGGAAGAGGTTCTGTATTAACAGTGGATTTGCATATACAAACAGTATGGGTGACGGTGAATATGAGAAATTAGTGGGATAGATGGCTGCAGCTAGATGGGCTGACGCAAAAGCAGACAGACGAAGGATATATACAGAAAAACTTGAGCTATGAGTTTGAGGAAAGTAAATGGTGTGTTAGAGGAAGTATCACAAATTGACAACAGTGCTTTCACGCATTAAAGCTTGGTCATTGAAACTAATGGGAGAAAAAACTTTCACTGTATTGTATAATGGTAATCTACAGTGTTAAAACCAAGAGCAAATCTGTAGTCAGAACCGTATTTAAAAGGATTGAAATGTAATTTAAAGTGATTTATTGCTGAGCGATTTTCTTAGTTCAATAGTCCCACTGTATAGGATAGTTATAGTGTTCCGAAAGCAACAAAGTTGCTGCCATCTAATGTCTAAACCCATATTAGAGAAAGATGATTTCTTTGTTTCCCCTTTCAAAATTTCAAGCAGGGATCAAAAGGTCTTCTACACCAAAAATCTCGTTTCCACTGGCTAGTTAACACAACATCCAAATAATGGAGAAAATTCTCTGTAAGACTTAATTATAAATACATATATGTGTGTTTGTGTATGTGCATACATCTCACACACAGACACACACACATATCAAGGTTAAGCAATGTGTCTAGCACCTTGAATAGGGA